AACATTTTACGAAGCGTTTCAAGTTAAATTTTACATTAAATCAAAGCTCAAATAATGCAAAATAATATACCTACAGCATATATTTCGGAAATTTATTGTTGTATAGTTAATAAAAGTACGAATCTTTCAACTATTTTGCAGTTTTGTACAAAAAATATAAAAAAATTAAGAATATCGTGTTGTCATGGCAACACTTGAGCGCGAGCCTGCGTTCACTGTTGGTCATTTCCGAATACTTCATGTTAAATGTTTGGAAAATATTGGCGAGGGGTTACTGAATGCATGTATTTCTAGTTAGATTATGTAGTGCGTTATCCGGGTTGCCGTTTTAAAACTTCTCATAACTCAGCCCCTATTCTGTCGGATTTCTTCAAACTTCCATATATTGTACAACTTTATATGTACTTTCCTACGATTCTTTATTCAAATTATGCACTTGAGTTTAAAGTACCCAAAAACTAACTCAAACTCATGCAACTTTAGTCGCGGAAATATAAATTTCATTACTATAATTAGATTATATAGTGCGTTATCCGGGTTGCAAAAAATATATATTTTTATATATATATATATTAAAAATATATATATTAAAAATATATATATTTTAATATATTTTCGTCATATACAACAAACTTGAAGCAATTTTGTTTGAAGAAATGAGAAGAATTGATTTACTACGGGAAATTGTGAAATATACGGCAAGTTTAATGTTTACGAATTTCGATACTTTAACTTTTTGCCTAAAAACATGAACTGTCTTCCTTTTCAACGAAGCTCTAAGTTTCATAAATTACCGTTTAATTTGAGAAAATATTTTAAAATGTAAAGACGAACAAATTGATTTGAAGACTGAACTGAAATTACCTAACAATTTGTTTTATTTGTATTAAACTTTATATCATGTGAATGAACATTTGAAAACATTTTACGAAGCGTTTCAAGTTAAATTTTACATTAAATCAAAGCTCAAATAATGCAAAATAATATACCTACAGCATATATTTCGGAAATTTATTGTTGTATAGTTAATAAAAGTACGAATCTTTCAACTATTTTGCAGTTTTGTACAAAAAATATAAAAAAATTAAGAATATCGTGTTGTCATGGCAACACTTGAGCGCGAGCCTGCGTTCACTGTTGGTCATTTCCGAATACTTCATGTTAAATGTTTGGAAAATATTGGCGAGGGGTTACTGAATGCATGTATTTCTAGTTAGATTATGTAGTGCGTTATCCGGGTTGCCGTTTTAAAACTTCTCATAACTCATCCTCTATTCTGTCCGATTTTTTAAAACTTCCATATATTGTACAACTTTATATGTACTTTTCCACGATACTTCATTCAAATTATGCACTTGAGTTTAAAGTAGAGAGAAACGCACTCAAACTCATGCAACTTTAGTCGCGGAAATATAAATTAGGTTAGAACGTTATCCGTGTTGCCGTGATAAACCTTCTCATAACTCAGCCTCCATTCTGTCCGATTTTTTCAAACTTTCATATGTTGTACAATTTTATATGTACTTTCCTACGATACTAAAGTCTAATTACGTTCTTTAGTTTAAAGTACAGAAAAATGCACTCGAACTCATGCAACTTTAGTCGCGGAAATATACATTAGATTAGAACGTTATCCGTGTTGCCGTGATAAATCTTCTCATAACTCAGCCCCTATTCTGTGCCAATGTATATAAAATCTCAAAATATGATCGAATAGAATGTCAGTAGCCTGCAAACAGGGTTAGCACTATTTTCCATCCGGCAAACTGACCGACGTCATTTTCGGAAGATGGAAGAGGTGCTATATATATGGCTATGAATGTAACTAACCCAAATTTCAAACCCTACCCCCGGCTCTAAACGCTAACCCTAACCGCAACCTAACCAAATTAATAACAAAAATCCAAAAAGAAACAACTTTAGAAAATCTGTAGGACGGTTTGCTGGATGGAAAATAGTGCTAACCTGCAAACAGGCATTTACAGGAGATCCCCGAGGGAAATAAACTCCTGCCGCTCAATCTCGTTCCCCGAGCCTGCAATCCTCGGGAAGGAACGTGAGACTCTAGGCTCCGTTTCAGGGTGGAATCTGATTGGCCGTTGATATGAAATGCGCAGTTCGGTCTTTAGCCAAGATTCCTGGCTTCCGGCAACGGATTATCCCAGAGTCTCACGTTCCTTCCTGAGGATCGCAGGCTCGGGGAACGAGATTGTCTGCCGGTAAGACGCTGACTCTTCCACAGTTCTTCGTTATATTTTAGCACGGGCGAATATGCCCGTTCGCGGGTTAGGCGTTGACAGTACACCTCGGAAATGCGAGGAAACCTAACCCATTTCCATCATCCAACGCGAGCGACTGGGAACGAGTAGGGTACATGGGTGCTCTTTTCAGTCTTGTGTTTGTGAGGAAGGGTTGCTCGAAATCGTACCAATAACGAAATTAGAAAAGCAAAGCAAGAGTATTTTATAACGAATTTGGAAACTGCTAAAACAAATCCAAGAAAAACATGGAAATTAATTAACGAACTAAGCTCGCGTAATTGTAATAAGTCAAGTAACATTAACGAGATTAAAGTAGACGGAAAAACAATAAATACACCTGCAAATACAGCTGAAGCTTTTAACAATCACTTCTCAAATGTTGGTGAGAATCTAGCCTCAGAGATACCCATTTCTAACGTCAACCCTGAAGACTATTTAGAATCAACTGAGCAGAGATTTTCCATTAGACCTCCTACGGTTGATATGGTTTATATACTGTTGAGTAAAATTAACGAACGAAAAGCTCCAGGTCTCGACAACATTCCTAATAAGCTGTTAAAAATAGCAGCAGCAATAATCTCACCATCATTAACTGATATATTTGCCAGATCAATTAACACTGGCATATTTCCATCCGAGTGGAAAATGGCTAGAGTAACACCAATATTTAAGAAAGGAAAAAGGAATGATCCGAATAACTATCGACCAATATCAGTTATTTCAGCTGTAGCCAAAATCTTCGAAAAATTAATCTTTGAGCAACTTTATAATTACTTCAGTTTTAACAGCTTGTTAACGCATTGCCAGTCCGGTTTCAGGTCGTTACATAGTACACTTACTGCTCTTCTTGAAGCCACTAGTAACTGGTCAGTTAATATTGACAATGGCCTCTTCAATGGAGTAATATTTATCGACCTTAAAAAAGCATTCGATACTATTGATCATCAGATATTGCTGCGGAAGCTTCGAATTTACGGTATGGATCAATTAAGTCTCGAATGGTTTCAGTCTTATTTGACCGGTCGATCTCAGAAATGTAATGTTAGAGGTTGCTTGTCATCATCTGCATCAGTTACACGTGGTGTACCACAGGGAAGTAACTTAGGACCATTACTCTTCCTTATGTATATTAACGACCTTCCTAATTGTCTCAGTGCAGCAGTACCGAGAATGTTTGCTGATGATACGAACATTAGTTATGCGGCCAACACTATCGCCGAACTAGAAAATGTTATTAATTCGGAATTAAAAAAATTGAAAAGCTGGTTGGAAGCGAACAAATTAAGCCTTAAGGCCCTGTTACACGGTGCAATTTTTCATGCAACTTGTCTCGCAATGTTTAAAAAAAAATTTTGATAATGCATTGCAAGAGGTGTTACACGCTGCAATGATATTCATGCAACTCGCAACGATACGGGACAGAGGCATGCGAAGAGACTAGGGAGAGGCGCTATTTGGCGCCAAATTTTATTTAAAGTAAAGCGTGTACTGGGGAGAGCCAATAGGATCTCTCCAAGCTATAAACATTGCGAGACAAGTTGCACGAGGCCATGTTACACGCTGCAATGCTAAAAATAATTAGTGCAATCGTTGCCAAAAGTAGAACCAACTTCTACTCTGTGCAATGCTTCATGCAACTTGTCTCGCAACGATTTTGACCATTGCAAGGCATGTTAAACGGTGCAATGACTCGTGCAACTTGTCTCGCAACGCCATTGCGAGACAAGTTGCATGAAAAATTGCACCGTGTAACAGGGCCTTTAATATCGCCAAGACAGAATTTATGATAATAGGATCTCGACAACGTATGCATGCGCACACTAACGAAAATATCAATATTGACCTGGATGGTCATGTGATTAAACAAGTTGATGAGGCAAAATCACTAGGTGTAATTATTGATAAAAATCTGTCTTGGTCTAAACACATTGATATGAAGTGTAAAAAGATTTCTTCCGCTATAGGTGCTCTTAAGCGAATAAACCATTTATATCAACTGAAACAGCAATCCAAATTTACAACGCTATAATTCAACCTCACTTTGATTACTGTAGTCCCATTTGGGACGAATTTGGCGCAACATTATGTGAAAAAATGCAAAA